GGTGAGCCGCCAAAGGGTTCTAGGGTCTGTTCCAGGATCCTTGTGAGGCTCCCCCAACCCCCACGGGGCCAGCGGGGGCAAAATTGCCAGCTTCTAGGACCTTTTCTGAGGCCTGAAAGGCTCAGAATAGGTCCTACAACCTGGCGATTTCGCTCTCGCTGGCCCCATGGGAGGGTGGGGGGAGCCTCACAAGGGTCTTGGAAGGCTCGCTCGGACCCTTGCGAGGCTCCCCCCACGGGGCCAGTGGGGGCGAAATCTCCAGTTTCTCTCCATAAGACGCACAGACTTTCCCCCCACACTTTTTTTTGGGGGGGAAGTGTGTCTTATGGAGCAAAAATACGGTACAAAGCCATTGATTTATTCACAGATAAAGCTAGTTTACTTACAGAGGTATACGAGCCAGTGTACCAACTTAGATTTTAGCCTGCAAGTCTATAGGTGCTACAAGATTTTTCAAGACAGCGAGTACTAAAATAGAAACCCAAAACTCAGAAGAACCATTTTGGAACCCCCTCATCTGCCTCACAATGTGGAGAATTATCCTAACTATAGTGTTAATTCTGCAATGTAATTCTTTTAGTCTTATAAGCCATACTGTAACCTATCACACTTGCACAAACACACAACTAAACTCAACAAGGTTTGCTGCTGAAGAAATGTGTACAGAATTATAACAGTAACACAATGTAATCTGAAGATTTTGTTTAAAAAAACCTCTACACCAAGTCATGAACAGCCATCATCATAGATCACCACCCTGATTGACAGGAGTTTTTAATTATGATCAACTGTTGTCCTCACCTAACACGAATTACAACTAATCAAAGAACTATCCAAAGAATTATAAATGTCCAGTCTATAGCAGACTACATGCCATGTTGCTAAAGAGATGTAACACTGAGCAATCTGAAACACAGGCCATAACTCTTCAGTGCTCAATATTGAGATAGAACAATCACTGTGCAATATATTTTTAATTAAAACACACTTTTTAACAACATTATAACAACTGCATTATATTTTTCTTTCAAATAAAGCTGTCCACAAAAATCTGTGGAAATGTGGAATAAGATCAGACATTGCCTCTGGACAGTGAGAATATTTCAATTCACACCTGCATAATCTGCGACCTATCAGGCCAAACAAATGATTAGGGGCTCTGATAAACATGCTGTGCTTTTTGTCTAGTGCTTCAAGAAGTTGGAAGGAGGAGGATATACTTGATGAAGAATCTGAAATCCTGCAGGTCTGCTGCAGAGCAATATTTTCACATCGTAGGACATTTTAGAGATGAACGAGTTAATAATTTGACAATTTCTGACATGCAATGATAGTCTTTAATACACATCAACTTCTATTTATTACTAATCATGTAGACCTCTAAGCAGGTTCTTTCTGGAATGCAGTCATGAGGAAGAAGAGTAGTGCAATAGCTGTTTAAAATGCTTGTCGGCAATCTATGCTGTAATAGATTCAGCTACACTGAAGTGCCCTTTGACATGAGTTATATTCATCATATCAGTGAAATATAACAGGACAAATTTGTATTAGTAGGAGCTATCCCAGAACTATGCTCCTTATAATTTATACATTTCTTATATTAATTGGTAGCCTATCACAAAATGTTGGTGTAATAATCAAGCCAATCATTTTTCAGAGTCATGCAACAGTGCTGTATAGAACTGCAGGCCTCATTTTTTGATGAACCATTAGAACAGACCCAATTTTTCGAAAGCCTTTTACCCACCAATCCAACTCTCAAACCTCCTTTTATTCTAAAGCGACAACATTTACATGATCCTTAAACGATGCGCATTATATTACAGATTTCCCTCAAAGCCTTAATAACTGAACAGACTGTTGATGCTTAGGAGAATAAAGGAGCTAGCATGCCATGCCTCCCATCATGACTCCAGCAAAAAAAAAGCACTGCAAATCAAGCACAAAAGGCGCTCAAGTATATCTGAACATGCCACTGTGGCTCATCATGACGCCCAGTAAGAGAAAGGGCAGCGGCTTCTTCCCCCCCCCCCCCCCCCAGGCCAGCTCTCCAAAAAAGAAGGTCAAAGTATCATCTAAAATGAAATGAGGTGATTAAAGCTCTTAAGTCCTCCCTTTCCACTGAACCCCCTAGGGCGGCCCTCAGGGCGGGTAGGTGGAAGGAGGGAGGGAGGGAGAAAAGAAAGGAGCCGGTCTCGCCCAGCGCCAGCCACTAGGCCTGACAGCAGGGACACTCCTCAAAAAAGCACCAGAGGCCGAGGCATCAACGCGACGCGCGGGCGGGCGCCCGTCGGGAGCTCTCGACGCGTGTCGGCCACACAACCCCGACACCCCCCCCTCTCAAGGGACCGACAAAAGCCCATACTCACGGCTAACTTTCATGCTGCCAAAGGCGGAGGGCTGCTGCACCGGCTTGCAGCTTTCCGCAAAGGAGGTGGTTCTCGGCCGCCCCGACATGGTCGCCCGCTGGTCTCCCCCCTTGCCCGACGGGCCCTCGCCTTCTTCTCCTCCTCCTCTTTTTTCTCTTCTTCCTCGTCCTCCTCCTCCTCGTCGTCGTCGCCGCCGCCCTCCTCCTCCTCCTCTCCTCCTCGGCGCGGCTTCTTCTTCCCTTCGGGGGCCGGAAGAGAAAGGCAGGCAGACCGTAAAGATCCAGCTCCCCCTCCCCACGCTGAAGACGGGGCGCCCCTCCTCACCGCCTCGGCCCAGGCTGCCCTCCACGCCGCGTCAGCCGGAGAGGGCCGCCACCATCCTCTGGCCTCCCATCCGCGGGGGAACACACGGAGCAGCAGCAGCAGCGCCGGGGGCCTCAAAGGCCGCCTCCGCCTAAGCCTTTCCTCAGCCGGCGAGGCGACCACCCCTCTTGGGCTTTGAGGCGAGAGACAAGGGAGGGGAAGCGAGCGCCCGGCTTCGTGGGGTGGCTGGGTGGGCGGCGATGCTCTTCTCCTCCTCCTTCTTCTCCTTCCCTTTTCTTCCTTCCTGCCTCTCTTTCTTCCTCTGGGAATCAATCACAGGCGGAGGCGACGGCGCAGACCCGAAAGAAAAAGAGGCGCGGTGCGTGTGTGTGTGTGCGTGTGGGGAGCGCGGGAGGGGGGCTGCGCTTCCCTCTCCTTTTCTTCTTTCCCTTCCACCCCTTCCTGGGTGGGGTGGAGGGGGGGGATGATTAAAGGGCGGCGGGGAGAGGCCAGGAAGGGACGGACTATTTCTCCCCGCGGAGGAACACGCGAGCCAAAGCGACGCGGATGGAGGCTGCGGCGCTGGCTGGCTGGGTGGTTGGCCCGAAAAAGGGCGCTTGACACCCGCGGCGGGCCGGGCGAGGCGAAGAGAAAGCGGCAGGCGGCGGCGGCGGCCTGGCGAAGGGGCACCTCCCTCTTTTCCTTTCCCCCCCGTCCCGCCTCAGTCGCTCTCGGGGTCTTTCGCCTCAAAGCGGAGACGACGACGGCGACGACAACCTGCTGTCCCTCCTCATAGCGCCTACACGGCAGGCACGGAGCGGCTCAGGCAGAGAACGCTGCAGTGCGGTTGGCGGGCAACGAAGACGGCGGGGCGGTCCATGGCGCTGCTACTGCAGGCGGCGGCGGCGGCTCCTCCCGGCTCGGCCGGCTGCGGCGTTGGTGGCGGCGGCGGCGGCGGGTGGGAGTTGGCCCCGCCTCTCCGCCCCAGTTCCTTTGTCCGCTGTGGTCTGTGGGGCCGTTGTTAATGTGCTTTCTCCGTACGCCTGGCGCCGCTGCCTCTTCGGGGGTTTCAGCTCCCTTTGCTGGGCTGCTAAACCAATTTTTTAAAAAAAAGGGAAAGGGGGAGTTAACCCAGTTGCATTTACGCAATTTTACCAAGTTCCCTTTGGGAATGCCGGTTCGAACGCCCCATTCCGTCAGACCCAGAAGGAAGTCGATGCGCTTTCTCCGCTTGTATATTTAAAAAAAAAAGATCCAAAACTCCAAAGCAATGCTTACGCAACCTTGCTTAAGCGCTCTCCGTGAATGCCAAGCCGAACGCCCGAGCTTTGCTACGCCCGAATTGTAATCGGGAGACCAATTAGAGAAGGATGTCGGGGGAAAACCCACCCTCCTGGCAGTACATCGGGACCAATCATCGAGGGCAAAAGAGAAACATCCGCGCTACCTTTACAACCAATCAGGAAAGAGCTATGAAAAGAATAAGCGAACTGCCCATCCTTTCCCTTCTGGGATCCAATAGAAAGCTGCTGTCCCCAAATCCCGGACAAGGGGGAACCAATGGGGCGGACTGATGTTTCCCATAACAGGAGGACGGGTTCGACGAACGGCTGATGCAAAATGGGTGGGGTTTCACGCGGCAGCTGCTGTGCCCCCGCCCAGCCCGACTCAAGCTTAGAAAGGAGAGGAAAGAGTCTCGCCTAATAGGCAGGCCGGCGGGGGTGAGACCAAGCGCAGCTTCTTGGATTCTCATTGGCTCATCCCACCCTAGCCTCGTCCTCTGACTGGAGGATTAGGGCACAAGGCGGACATAAGCGCACCAATCGGCTTTTCCGATCCGAAAGCTCGTCCATATACGTTGCCGGTAAGGCGTGCTTTCATTGGAGAAAGGATCCGTGGAGGGGAGGGGTTTGTCTCCGAGTGTAGTCGCCTCACCTCGCCCTCCGTTCTGGCTTCTGTGCCGGGGGCGAGCCTTTTCTTGGGAAGAGTGTGTGGGTGGCGCCCTCCAGGTTGGCCTCAAGCCGCAGCCTTGTCTCTCCGGGCCGCTGGTACTTGCAAGAGGCCCCTCCCAGCCATTTAAGGGCGAGGGTCGAATGGGGAAAGGACTAAAAAAGAAGAGTCACCTCGTGCGTCAATATCCCTGCTGCCAGATCTCTGCCTGGGTGAGCAAGCCTGTTGCCTCCCGGGAGGTGACCCTGCCGGAGGTTTTGGGACGAGGGCAGTGCGAGGACATCATGTTTTTTAAGTCCCACATAGCTGGTCCAGGCATCTTCTGTTACAGTGGGGTCTCGACTTACAAACGTAATCTGTATTGGAAGGCAGTTTGTAAGTCGAAAAGTTTGTAGGTCGAATCTGCATTTCCCATAGGAATGCATTGAAAACCATTTGATCCGTATCTGCTCTTTTCGTCCATAGAAACTAATGGGAAGCTGCTATTCTGCCTTCTACCACTAGAGGGGGATAGTTTCTTTTTCTCTTAGGTCAAGAAAAGTTCAAGAAAGGAGGGGGGAGGCAGGGAACAGTTTTAAAAGCACTTTTGAAATCTTTTTTTTCAACGAAGCCAATTTTAAAGCATGCTTAACTCAGAGACAGGAGTCTGGAAGTCACACCTTAGCCCAGTCTTTGCAAGCCAGAATGCCTGACCCACACAATTCTTCTGCAAAAACACAGACAGGCAGGATTTTGGAAGTCACACCTTAGCCCAGTCTTTGCAAGCCAGAATGCCTGACCCACACAATTCTTCTGCAAAAACACAGACAGGCAGGATTTTGGAAGTCACACCTTAGCCCAGTCTTTGCAAGCCAGAATGCCTGACCCACACAATTCTTCTGCAAAAACACAGACAGGCAGGATTTTGGAAGTCACACCTTAGCCCAGTCTTTGCAAGCCAGAATGCCTGACCCACACAATTCTTCTGCAAAAACACAGACAGGCAGGATTTTGGAAGTCACACCTTAGCCCAGTCTTTGCAAGCCAGAATGCCTGACCCACACAATTCTTCTGCAAAAACACAGACAGGCAGGATTTTGGAAGTCACACCTTAGCCCAGTCTTTGCAAGCCAGAATGCCTGACCCACACAATTCTTCTGCAAAAACACAGACAGGCAGGATTTTGGAAGTCACACCTTAGCCCAGTCTTTGCAAGCCAGAATGCCTGACCCACACAATTCTTCTGCAAAAACACAGACAGGCAGGATTTTGGAAGTCACACCTTAGCCCAGTCTTTGCAAGCCAGAATGCCTGACCCACACAATTCTTCTGCAAAAACACAGACAGGCAGGATTTTGGAAGTCACACCTTAGCCCAGTCTTTGCAAGCCAGAATGCCTGACCCACACAATTCTTCTGCAAAAACACAGACAGGCAGGATTTTGGAAGTCACACCTTAGCCCAGTCTTTGCAAGCCAGAATGCCTGACCCACACAATTCTTCTGCAAAAACACAGACAGGCAGGATTTTGGAAGTCACACCTTAGCCCAGTCTTTGCAAGCCAGAATGCCTGACCCACACAATTCTTCTGCAAAAACACAGACAGGCAGGATTTTGGAAGTCACACCTTAGCCCAGTCTTTGCAAGCCAGAATGCCTGACCCACACAATTCTTCTGCAAAAACACAGACAGGCAGGATTTTGGAAGTCACACCTTAGCCCAGTCTTTGCAAGCCAGAATGCCTGACCCACACAATTCTTCTGCAAAAACACAGACAGGCAGGATTTTGGAAGTCACACCTTAGCCCAGTCTTTGCAAGCCAGAATGCCTGACCCACACAATTCTTCTGCAAAAACACAGACAGGCAGGATTTTGGAAGTCACACCTTAGCCCAGTCTTTGCAAGCCAGAATGCCTGACCCACACAATTCTTCTGCAAAAACACAGACAGGCAGGATTTTGGAAGTCACACCTTAGCCCAGTCTTTGCAAGCCAGAATGCCTGACCCACACAATGTACATGGATTCTCCGTTTGTAAGTCGAAATGGAATTTTGCGGACGGAGAAGTGTGTAACTCGAAAAGTTCGTATGTAGAACCGTTTGTAAGTCGAGACCCCACTGTATTTCCAGGGTGAGCTCTCTCTTGAGTAGAGATGGGCAGGAATTAAAAAAAGAAACAGCACATTCGTTCAAAGAACTAATTCGTCGATTCCTATTTGTATGAGTCAGTGCTCTGAGGAATAGGAATCAGTGAATTTTAGCAGTTTTTAATTTGTCAGTTCATTGGGCTATAAAATGGCCACACCAGGCAACTAGAGACACCAGAACTGAAGAAAATCTTCCTCTGATTCTCCTCCACAATCCCTCCAAAGTTTAATGAAGATTGGGTTTGAGATGTCTGAGTTATACTCCCACAAATAGCCCCCCCCACTCCAAATGTTTTCCCAGGTACCTAGAGACACCAAAACCACAGAGAACCTTCCCATGACTCTCCCTACCATATCTCCCAGTTTGGTAGAGATTGGGTTTCCTCAAGCCAGCTGCTAAAGGGCGCTTTCCTGGAGGGTCCCACTTTGTGGGTGTATAACTTGGATGTCTGAAACCCATTCTTCACCAACCTTGAAGGGATTGTAGAGGAAAGTCGGTAAAAACATCTCTGTCATTTGGGTGTCTCTAGATACCTGGGGGAAATTTTCCTGGGTGGCCTTCTTGTGGTTGTAAAACTCAGATGTCCAAAACTCAAGCTTGCAAGACTTGTAGAGGAGAGTCAGGGGATGCTCCTCTGCAATTTTGGCATCTCTAGCTGCTTGGGGGACTGTTTTATAGGGTTTTAAAAGTAAGAATTGAATTGTCAGATTCATAATTTGTGATTTGTTGCCATATCATAAATCAAAATGAATTGCCATTTTCCTGATTTTTGTCCATTGGTTTCCATTGGCTAATAGTAATGGATATCTCTTTCCTGCCTCCATTTTCTAGCAGCGGCCAGCCTGAGGACTCTGGAGGCAGAGAGACAGCACATAAAACCGAGGGCAGCCCTCGCTGGTTGTTTGTCACCAGCACCTGGCGGTCAGGATCCTGCTGCCTCTGAATGGGCAGACACCTTTCGAGTCTTGTAGCTGTGGTGAGCAGAGCTGAGAAGCCTCTCCACCAGAAATTTATCAACCCCGGTGCACCAGAAGTATAACTCAGAATTGTTTTCAGTATTCACCTGCCAGATACCTTAAGAGCGGGCAAAATGGCAGGTGCTTGTCTCAAGAAGGCATGGGGCCTTTGACTTATGATCATTTGTTGTTTCACAAGCATGAGTGGCCACATTAGTACCCATGTACTTCAGGATACATTTTGCCTCAAAAGTTGAAGACTTTTTAATATCTTTCTGAATGGCCTAGTATGATGCGTGCATTGGTACACTTAGAAGAGAGAGGTGAGACTTGCAAAATATGTTGCCCAGTTATTAGTTAGATCACAAGGTTCCAGGCCAGCTCAGGAAAATGTACAGTTCCTTTGTTCCCAAGACTTAGCTACTTCACTGAGTTATGCTTTGTAAGTGCAAGAGTAGGTGATGCCTTTATTAGACCACTAAAAAAATAAACAATCTGTGAGCTTTCACTGGTTAAGTCTTCCTCAGGCCATGCACCATTATTTTATTGGAGAAAAATTGTAAGAGTCCCAAAAATTCATGGTAGGTAATTGTGCCAAGCTTGCTTCCGAGGTGTGAGTTAGAAAACACACAGGTTGGAAACTACAACTCCAATGCAATCTGCTCCTGCATTTTTATTTTATAAAGGCCACACACCTTTCTTTTGAGTTTTTTCCCCCAAAACTATGCTCTGTAAACGGAGAGGCTTCAAGCCTTAGATCAAATCAAAAGCCCTTGGGGTCTTTTGATTATTTATTACTAGTGACATGGGATTAGAGGAGAAGATAGATGAGAAGCAAAGTTAAAAACAGAAGAGTTCTTTGATAATGTCAGAACTATCATTAATGTGTGTGTGTGGGGGGGGGGAAGGTTGGCTCAGACTTGCTGAAAAAAAGAAATGAAGTCAAAGTGCCCCAAGACTAACTCTCTAACTTGTGAGGATAACCAAAAAAAGCCTTTGGGAGTAGGATGAATTCTAGATCTTTAAGGTGACTGTAGTCAAGGAGCAGAAGAAATGAGGAAAAGTGGAGCAATGGCTGAGCCAGATCAACTAGCTTTGACTTGTCAGTCACCCCATTTTCACTTGCAAAAAGATATGCCTGGCAGTGCATTCCATCTTCCTTTGGACAGCAAGGTGACAAATCCAAATTTTGCATGAGAACTCCGAAACAACAATGCTTTTTCAGCATGTTGTTTTATAATAGTGGTTGCTGTTATAACAGTTTCAGCCAGCTATCCACTATAATTGAGTACTTTGGTAATGAAAAAAATTACCGTGCAATAGTCCTACTTTAATGTATTCGCGAAGGCTCTCGCAGCCGGGATCTAATGGTTGTTGTGGGTTTTCCGAGCTCTTTGGCCGTGTTCTGAAGGTTATTCTTCCTAACGTTTCGCCAGTCTCTGTGGCCGGCATCTTCAGAGGACAGGAGTAGCACTCTGTGCTCTGGTGCAGTTTGTTTCGGAGGTGTCCACGATGTTGAGATAATAGCAATCTTGCATGCACTCACACTGGGCTTTACAGCCTTATGAGATTGTTCTTTGTCACTAGATTGGTAAGCCTCTTTTCCTGCCTCTGGCATTTGAGGCAAGTCCCCACCCCGTCATCCTGTTTGTTTGGTTGGTTGGTTGCTTCCATTGTCTTTTATTGTTGATAGCTTTCTCACTCAGACCACCAACCAAGCAACAAGCATGGAGGGTCTTTTCCACATGATGGAAAGTCCATTTCCCTCTTTTTCCCCTTCTGACTGTAATTATAGGTGATAACTATAAGTAACAATACCT